TTTTTATAAAACATTAAAAACTTGGTCATTGGTCTAGTTACTTTCAGGTAGTCCTAAACACGAATCTGTTGCCATTTTTAATTTGAAAAAATCTCTAAAATATTTTTTTGGTTTTCCACTCCAAAAAACTGTGTTAGTTAGCCATGACTTTAGTCGATGCTATACAAAAAAACCGTTTCATTTCTCTTAGTCAGATCTATCCGGCAAAAAATAATTATTAAAATTGAGCCATAAACAAATATGCTACAGGAGATATTTCGAGTATCCTGTATTCGAAGTTCATGGAAATTAGTAATTAAAGATTTTACAACGATGTACAGACTTAAGCGGGGCGCAAACGATATTTCAAACACCCTGTATTTATTTTCAATTAATGGTTTTTATAAATCCCTAATAGCACTTCTCTCTTCTCTCTCTTTTGTTAAATAGTCTCAACAAAAAAATCGAAATGAAACCCGAAACAAAGATTTTAGAAGGCACAGTCCTCAGTGGGACACACTGTATATCAAAAAGTGTGAATTTTACTCAAATAGCGTTAAAAAGTCCCCTGGCGATCATCTTGAAAATCCTAAAATATTGTTCTCGGTCTTTATTTACGCACCCGTAATAAAATATTTTACCGCAAGTCTCAACGACGAATAGTTTCGGAAATACAGTAGTTTCTTATCTGACCATCCCGCACAAGTACAAACAAATTAAGAAATAGAAAAAACCGGTGCGAGGGACAGATACGATTTGACATCGCAGAACATCTTTTTGTTGTTCTTAAGTTATCTTCCCAAAGTGCATAAAATAGTATAAAACAGGGCACTAAAGTTTCCTTTCGTTTGCTCTTAAGTGGCGGTATTTACTATACTTAAAAAATTAGATACTGAAAGGTAGTTTGATCAGCGTTTTGGACAAAATCTCGTATAAAAACCGCTTTCCCCGAATTTTATTTAAATTTTTGTTACTATTGCTTTCGACGATTTTATGTGCATTTTAAAAAGAAAGCGCGAAATATTTAGGTCAAGGCCGACGCATCGATCAAACTGAAACGATATCGAAACGTAAGAGAATCGGTAAATAAGCGACTAAATCTTTAATCAAAGAAGTACAAAGCGGTAGGCTCTCATTCTATATAGAGATCCCAAAGATAATTTGTGATTATCGTTGAAGAGCTGGAGCAGCAATTTTAAATCTTGATATCTGCCGTTTGACCCGACTTTATAAGATCCCTAATGAGGTTGTTTTATTCTGCAAGTTCATATCGAGCTAATCTGCAGAATAGTTAGAGTGGCCAGTTGAAGCGCGCAAAATTTGTCTCATTGTTTCAAATAGTTACTGGAACCACAACAACCGCTACTGTACTAAATATTTCTTCTACATACTCGCACGATCATTAACAAGATGGCTTTCGAAAAATCGTCGGTGGGCGGGGTAAATTCGCAGCGCGTAGCGCGAAACAGCTTTTTATTTTAAAAAGAATGATGCGCTTCGCGGTTTCTTGTCCTAGAGGGACGCGTTGTTTTTCTATCGTGCTCCTGGGTGCCACTACGAAACTTTCGCAAATTTGATGTAATTTAATTGTGCATGCACCCTGTATAAAGTGTCTTTCATATGCATCTCGTCGAACTTCGAAGTGTACAAAATTTGTGCAAATAATAGCGATTTCCAGTGATATTTCTTCAAATATCTCGGGTACCTTATATGATAGACGAAACCTGAAACTATTTCTCGACACAATTTATAGTTTTTCTGTTACGGCTCATACTTTACCCACGAAAATGGCAGTTTTCAAGATCCTTTATATTTTTTGCCCATTACTGACACACCCTGTATATAATTGAAAAACCGCCAGAAGTAAAGATTATAGTCCTCGATCCCCCACGTTTCCCGATCCAAGAATTTTTCCAATAGAGTAACTCGTTTTCGAGAAAATTCTTTTCTGAAACTATGCAGTACGTCGTAATAGTAAATGACGTCATCGCGTATAGACTGAGGCAGAGGAATAGTACTTTTTATATGGATTTTTTCAAATATTTCGAGCAGCGTGTGTGATAGACGAAAACTGCAAATACAGAAATTGTAGCTCTTCATGCGACCTATCACACTGTTTGAACCGGTTACGAATTTTGATCGACGATTTTTAAATTCTTTTAGATTTTTGTTCATAACTATATATAATAAAAAAATACATAAAATGAAAGTTATAGCCCCGGATCGCCGGCGTCTCACGGTTCCAAAATTTTGCCGATCAAGTGAATGGTTATGGAGAAAAACATATTTTTCTGAAAGCCAAAATAACCAAAAAAAAAAAACAATTTTTTTTAAATACTTGTTGAAATTTGATCGTACCCAGTTTCTACTATTTAAATATGCGCACGGACTTCTCTGCTAAATTTGAACTTGATATCTGCAAATCATATTCATTTCATATTATTCTTATTTATTTATTTCATATTATTATTATAGCCAATTTTCACTAATAGGGGGACCCATTTTTCAGTTTTTTTATATTTACGGCGCACCCCGTACATTTTTGAAAAATTGTCAAGAACAAACAAGAATTTTTTCGATCTCGTAAATGGTTTTTGAAAAATTATCGCGATTTTTAATTTTTATAAAATCCTTTCCAACCCCTCAGCACCCCCATTTTCAATAGGTTCCGTCACGGGGCAAAGTTGCATAGATGTGTCAAATATTAAATCGATTGCTTCAAACACTTATCGTGTTTCATAGCAATGTCTAAAAAACAGTCGAAAATCGCGAAAAAAAGATGGCTGTTATTCTTATATGCAATTTCTTATAGGGTTATGTATCTCGTGGAAGGTTAAAAAGGAGGTAAATCTCAATTTCGTAGTCCAAAAGGTTACAAAGTTATTCCGGAAAAACCAAAAGACGAGAACGGAGAACGGAGAACGTGGAACAGACAAAAAAACGACGGCCACCTAGCGTTACCGAGATATAACATTTTTATAGGAGCGTAGATACTTTCAAAAAAATCTATTTCATCCATTTTGGAAAGTAACAAGATTGCTTTCGAAAAATTGTTGATAGGCGGGGCAAGTTCGTCGCGAGTAGTGCGAATCAGCTTTTTATTTCCAAAAGACGACGATTCGGGGTTTCTTGTTTTAGAAGGACACATTGTTTTTCTATCGTTGCTCCTGCGGACCACTATGGAACTTTGTACAAGTAATAACGATTGCCAATGATATTTTTTCAAGTAACTTGCGCACACTGTATGACAGACAAAACCTGAAACCCTCTCGATCCAGTTTACGTTTAAACCAAATTATCCCACGTTTTATACTTTTTCATTTACAGCTAATAATTGTCCCACGAAAACTGTAATTTAAGGGTCTTTTTAATTTTTTGCCCATAATCGATACACTCTATACGTAATTGGAAAAATGCCGGAAATAGAGGGTATAGTCCTGAATCTCACGCGTTTCCTGGTCCGAGAATTTTTCCAATGGTTTTCGAGAAAATATTTTTTTTCTGAAACTACGCAGTACGCCGAGTAGTCAATGACGTCATCGCGTCTACACTGCAATGCATTTTTTGAAATATCTCCAGCAGCGTGTGTGACAGACCAAAACCGTAAATACAAAAATTGTAGCTCTTGATGCGGTCTATAAAACTGTTTAAACCAGTTAGTCATATTTTTTACAAACTTTGACTTACGGCCAATAATTTACTCTGAAAACAACAATTTTCAGGGTCATTTACATTTTTGTCCATAACTAACAAACCCTGGATATAATCAAAAAAATGTTAGAAATAAAAGTTATAGTACTGGATCTTCCGCATCTGCTGGTTAAAGGATTTCAACTATCGGAATAATGTTTTTCCAGAAATTTTTTTTTTCTGGAAACCAAAATAACTCCAAAAAATACTTTGAGCTACGTGATCGCAGCCAGCTTTAATGGTTTAAATGTTTGTCCTGACTTCTGCTTCTCTGCTAAATCTGAAGTCGGTAGCTGCAAATTTAGGGCACCTATTACGGTTTATAATATTGCACGGTATATCGCGAACACCCTGTACAATAGGTAAAACCTTAAATGCAAAGGCCTTAGCTCGCTATACGACCTATATTTTGGTGTAAAACAAATTGACTTCTGAATCGCAGCCTCCTAGTTATGGTAAATTTTCATTAAAAGAGAAACCCCATTTTCAGTTTTTTGCCAACATTGGCCACATCTTGTACATTTTTAAAAATTGTCAAGAATAAAAGTTTTTCCGAGAAATGATTTTTTTTTAGATCCATGCAAACGCCGTTTTTATTTTTTTTTTAAATACTTCCCGATCTGCCAGCTCCCCCAATTTCAGTAGGTTCCGTTAGGGACGACACACTATTTGCTTGCCAAATATGAAGTCGATAGCTTCAATTTCGGACACTTATAGTGTACGATGTACGAAAAGCAGTGGAAAATCGCGAAAAAAAGATAGATGTCAATTTCTGATCGCGGCCATTTCCTATAGGCTTATGTGTCTCATGGCCAGTTTAAAAGGAGCAAAACTTCAGCTCCCTCACTCAAACCATTCAGAAGTTATTAGCGATGTTATGGAGCGTCGACAGAGAACAAAGAATAGAGAACGGAGAACAGCCAAAAAATTAAAACGTTTATTTTTCGACACTGATTCCATCGGTACCAACGCGGTATACGCGCTTGGCAACGAAACGCGTATACTTTTGAAAAATTTGATTTCATCGACTTTTCGAAAAGACCAAGCACAAGAGATCAAGAGTCATGAAGCCATTTTTAAGTGTGCGATAAGCACAACTTACGCTTGTTGCTCTTGAGTGGAAGAGGGTGAGAGAAAGCCGGAGGAGAAATTGGGTAATTTCTCCAAGGCATTTTGTTAAGCGTTTAACTTCCAAGTGTGAGCAATGAATATGCCAAATGGTCAAACGTCGGAACGAAAATATATTTATTTATATTCTATTCTGTAGGCTCTGGTTACCTAACTTTTCTAATAAATTTCTACCATATTAAGATTATAAAAACTGAACTTACCTAACAACGCCTGGAAGAGTCGTGATTTGAAGATCCTGATCACTCGTTCTATGGCTTGTCGCAAAGTTTGGTCCTGCGGTCGTATTAATTTAGAATGATAATCTTCTAGTAGTTCCAAGGCACGGTGGGCTTCTGGAAATAAAATTTTATAGGTACTTAAATGTCAACCATATGTACTTAACATTATGGGTTTATAGGTCCTTTCTAAATCCAGTTTAATCTGCTATTGTGTAGAAATATACTGACACAATTTTTTTCTTAGAAAACATTTTAAAGCTTGCCATCTTTTCAGACAATGTGTCTAAAAAGGCCGAATCAATTACTCAACCTTTATGAAACGCCTTCACTTTGAAGGATATTTGTGGCGTCACGTCTCAGATGATTGATTAACGCCATTGATGCTATAAAACCGGAGCCATAGAGGTCGTCCCTTTATAAACAAATTCCTGGACAAATTGAAACTTATTTATTCGTTTGGTGCTTTTTGTGCGAAAATAATGCTTTTTGTGACGATAAAGTTTTCATTTTGGTAGGGCTAATCACTTCATGTCGAGCTGAATATAAAATGCAAAACAAAATATTTTATAATGAATCTTTTGATAGGTTTTGTGATTGCTATTATATGATTTCATAATTATCAACAAATGATATCTTAAATAGTTTGAAATTTTAATTTAATTAATTTAATTAAACACTAGCTCCGCTACGCTCCGCTCGTGTCAAATAAACTTATGAGTCAAATGCCGTTTACCGCAGTTGTTGCACAATATACTATTGTACACTTGTGAAACATCTACAAACTAACCAAAAATCGAAAAATCAACCATAAGAAAAATAAAAGTTAGAAAGTCGATTTACTGATGAAAAACGAAATCCGCCATTTGCGGTTTTTCGCCGATATTTCCCAAATCAACTGACCCATAGTAAATCTGAAGCCGGTTATGAAATACACTTTATCAAAGAAACTTCCACAGGCTACTGTAATACTTTTTACAAAGCTTCTGGATTCCTCCTACGTCGGTTTTGGTTGAGTTCAACATTTGTGGTATAGTTCGCCAATCATCCTGTTGGCTTCTTCAGAGCTTCACTGAAACAGTTTCAGTCACGCACTGTTTTTCGTACAATCCGAGGCAAGTGCATCTCCTGTTATTTCCAGTTTCTAAATGTGTTCAAAACTCTTTGTCTCGAAAGTTCTATAATCTCTGTAAGAATAAAAAAATCAAAGACCTCATTTTTTGTGTGACTTCAGAGGAAGAAACCCAAGGGCGAAAGGTCAGGGAGCTAGCTTAATAAAATAACTCTTTCGGCAAAGTGCTCGCTTAACAAGTTTTTAACTTGAAACTACTTATTAAAATACAACTTTGATACTTCGAATTGTTTTACTTCAAAATCATAGCTCTCCTTAGATGGAACAAAACTGGAAAAATTTTACGCTTTTTCCAGATTTCGCAAAATCCAATTATCCTAAATATTTTCCAAACCAATTGATCAATCTTAAATCTGAAGCCGATTACCACATGCTAAATTTCCTCTAAAATGTTCCCCACTTAACACTGAGGAGCAGAGATCCCTGTATAAAGAAGCTAATCTGAAACACATTGTATATCATAATTTTTAGAGTCTGCTTTTCATTTCTTATTACGTATTCTTATACATATTTAGCTTCAAAAATAAATGCAAGTGAAATGATCAAACTTGCTCCACATTCCTTTGCTGACTACCTTTAGTCATACATAAATAACAATGACAGAAAAAAATGTTCATCAGATAACAAAGGCGGTTTTTTGATCATTTTGTGTTCTTAAATTAGAGTTGGAAAATATTTGTGATTAGCATAGAGTATATGTTAGATAAATATGATAAATTTTAGAAACATAAACCAGACGCAATTGCAAATATTGTAGTTATATTACGAAAATGGAAACAATAACAGGTAGGTCACCCTATTGCTTTTTGCATGTCTATTTTGTCGTCGATGATCCAAGAAAGCAGATTATAAATTTTTCAAAATAAATAAGAATTAAAAGTTCAGATTTTCACGAAATTATATATTTTGACATTACAATTGTTTCAACAACACCGTGTCTTTATCAAATGTGTGTTGTCGAAACAATTGTCATGTCAAAATATATAATTTCGTGAAAATCTGAACTTTTAGTTCTTATTTATTTTGATAAATGGGTTGTCATCAAGTAAAAGCCTCTGCAGTTGAATTCTATAAATTTTTGTCTGAATAATATTTATTACTGCTCAAAAAGTGGGGTGCAGGAAAAATAGAAGATATAGAATATAACATATAAAACGGGCGTTATTTTTGGTCACCCACAATAAAAAAGTTAATTCCATGAATGTTGGTTTTTATGTTCCAAATGTATTGTCCATTGTACCCAACTTTTTGACAGTCTTGATCCTCTTGATAGTTCTTTTCCTTAGATGTCATAGAGGTCTCAACTCACAAGGTCACCAAAGATCAGAATTTATTTTATTGTTCTTTCAATATGCTTTTCGATTGTTTATGCCAAAGATTAAAGCTATCAATTTTTCCATATGTCACTGAGTCTCAACAAATTGTTGTTACATCTATTACATGCTCGTTTGGGTGAAATTTTATCGACTTTTTTCTAAAAATGAAATTATGTTTGACGGGCCATTTATTATATTAGCTGTATCGAAAATATAAGAGTTGAAAGTATGATTTAAACATTTAATATTTTAATATTTAAATATTTCAGTGATTTTAAGGAATAAATATTCTCTTGATTAAAGTGAGTATAATCCAGTCATTTGATATATTACAATTTAGAAAATCTATACAAATACTATCTACAACATAACGTATTTTAATTACACACACCACTTGTAAATCTAGGCTACAGTCGTAACGAGAACCGCATGTAATTTATTATAAATTGGAAAAACGAGTACAGTGTTTTATCGATCGACGAATTGTTTTATTGCCCATGTGATTTTGTGACATTTTTATTATCGGTATTCCTGGCATTAAACCGCCCTGATTTGTGTCAATATGAACCACCGTTTAAATACACATGGATTTGTACTATCTTTTCCAAAAAAAAACGCATGTACAATATGGGAATTTTTTGATGTCGCAAAATTAATGAACTATGTTTTTTCAGGAAATGACGGCAAACATATACAAATATTTTATTTTGCATGACATGCTGAGTGCGTTCAAAACGGAGAAAATTCACTTTGTCGACTGTCGCTTTGCAGTATCAACTTTTTCAAGAGGAGTCTGCATTTAAAGGTATTATACGAAAAATGGCGAGGAAAAGTGACTTTTCTAGAAACTCGTCACGACTTTCTCCATCAAAAGCCGTTTCTTAAAAGCAGGAAACCAAAAATGATGGGATAAAAGACAGATAATTTAATATTTATCGAGAAGGAAATCTTATTTATTGTAAATCCAATTTTGCGGAAAAAATAACAGCGAGATGCAATAAAATCGAGATTTTGTAGTATCGCTCTTTAGGCACAACGTATTAGGAATTTTATTAGTAATCCTAACTTCTGTATTTTTATACAATTCGTAACGAAAAGTTGAAAAAATAGGAACTTTCTTTGGATTCATATTTTTAATATCGGTGAAAAATACTTGGTAATATACAGGATATCCTAAATGTTATGGAACAAATTAATAATAATAATAATAATAATAATAATAATAATAATAATAATAACAAAATTAATAAGAATCTATTATCAAAGGCGAAGTCTCAGTCAACCTCCAATTACTACCTATATATTAATTATTCATATAATAAGAAAGAATTTGTTTAGAACAGTTAACAGTTAAGTCAGTACAATAAAATATACACATAAAAATAAATACAAAAGAAAAAATAGAAATTACAAAATATGCTCCTACTATTATACTACTACTATATATCAGCTACGTTAGTTACCGCAGCCTTTTTGAAGCTTATAGAAGGCAAATCTTCAAGGCTATTAACAACTATCTGAATCCCTGTCGCGTGTGAGGTATAGCTATTAGCAAAAATAGTATATTATGCAACAAGTGCAGTAAACGTCATTTGACTCACGAGTTTATTTGACACGAGCGGAGCGCAGCGGAACGAGTTTTCAATAAGCGAGTGAGTTAAAAAGTTTACCGTACGTGTTGCATACTATACTTTTTCTACGACCGTTAGTTTTTGGGTACATTTTCGCAAAACAACACGAATACATTCACTGACATGACCGTCAGAATTGACAAACGTCAAAATTCAAAGCGTGGAAATATCTTCGAAAACACTCGATTGCTCCCAAATCCGTGCGGTAAAATCCCGGAAATGTCCGAAGTGGATCAGATTCATGGGAAACGAAACTCACGTGGTAAAGTGATGCTTCCCGCACGCTAGATCGGTGGGTAATTAGGTATTTTACAGACGGGAGTAGAAAAAAATATTTGACTGTAGTATTTGAATTTTTTTTAATTCAACTTTTTCAAGAGAGGCCTTCTTCCGGAAATTTCACAGTCAATTATACCTACAATTTTAGACACACCATTTCCTGATTGTCTGGATTATATTCCGGAGCTTTTCCCTATTTATAAAATTATTTTCGTTTTTCCCTATTTGATAGGTTGCCAGGCAAGTGCGATAGAAGGGGTACATGAAAATATTCCAATTTTCAATCGCGCCCTGAAGATCTGAATCTAAAAGTGTCATGACAATCTTGTTTACAAAAAGTAGCGCAGATTCGCGAAAACTGAAAGTTTCTATTTTTGTGAATAACCGAGATACCGCCGAATTGAAATTAAAATGAGACATACTTTACATATTCCTTAAATATGCTCTTTTCCTTTTCGGAATTTTGTGAAACATTTACACGTGTTAGGATGTCTGTTTTCTTTTCATTTGTAATGCTGTTTTCTTGTTTCCCACTCGACAATTGTACTTTGTCGGTAGCGAGCTATAAGTAACATGTAGAAACAAAATAACATAGATGAAATGACAATTTCTCCTGCGTTTACTGAAAATAAACATAAAATGAACTATCGAATTCCGAAAACTGGAAAAATACGAAGAAAATTCACGCTTGAATGAGAACGCTAACTACCAGAGCGTCGCAAGATGGCCAGTCAAATCAACATTTCACTCGATTACCTA